TCATGTATCATCACACTATATCATGTATTATCACACTACATTATGTATCATATCACTAGGTCATGTATCACACTTCGTCATGTATTATCACAACGTCATATATCATCACACTACATAATGATCATCACACTACATAATGATCATCACACAAAATAATGTATCATCACACTCAATCACATATCATATCACTAGGTCATGTATCATACTACGTCATGTATCATCACAACGTCATGTATCATCACACTACATCATGTAGTATCACACTATATTATGTATCATCACACTCCATCATTTATCCTCAAACTACATCATGTATCATCTCACTACATCATGTATCATCTCATGATCACAACATCATTTATCATCTCACTACATCATGTATCATCACACTACATCACTTATCATCACACTCCATCATGTGTCATCACATTACATCATGTATCATGACACTACATCCTGTATTATCACACTATATTATGTATCATCGGTACACTGTACGTCATGTGTAGTTTCAGAGTGTAACCGTGTAATACTATTTTGAATCACGCCAATTGACAATGTTTTCTTTTTCTTCGCATTAACATATAACCACATATTATCTACGAAAGAAGTACGGAACTTATCATTAGTTTCTACTATTGTATAATCAATGTTTTTTTTATTTTTAAAATCATTTCTGCTCTTCCAGACTACCCACTTTATAGTGATAATTATTGTATTAAGTATAAATGATTCCTTATTATCTCTATGGAAACCAAGCATCATAACTTCCTCGGGTATCTGATAAGTGTAATCTGGAATAACATAAACCACTGAATTANCATCACACTATATCATGTATCATCTCACTACATCATGTATCATCACACTATATCATGTATCATCTCACTACATCATGTATCATCACACTATATCATATATCATTACACTACATCATGTAACATCACACTATATCATGTATCATCTCACTACATCATGTATCATCACACTACATCATGTATCATCACACTACATCGTGTATCATTACACTTCATCGTGTATCATTACAATACATCATGTATCACACTATATCCTATAACATCACACTACATCATGTATCATCACTCTACGTCGTGTAACATCACAATACATCATGTATCACACTACATCATGTATCATCACACTCCATCATGTATCATCATACTACATTATTTATCATCTCGCTACATCATGTATCATCACACTCCAGCATGTATCATCACACTACATTATTTTTCATCTCCCTACATCATGTATCATCACACTACATCATGTATCATCACACTCCATCATGTATCATCACACTACATTATTTATCATCTCGCTACATCATGTATCATCACACTCCATCATGTATCATCACACTACATTATTTATCATCTCCCTACATCATGTATCATCACACTACATCATGTATCATCACACTACATTATGTATCATCTCACTACATCATGTAACATCACACTACATCATGTATCATCTCACTACAACATGAATCATCACACTACATCATGTATCATCACACTACATTATGTATCATCACACTACATCATATATCATCTCACTACATCATGTATCATCACACTACATTATGTATCATCTCACTACGTCATGTAACATCACACTACATCATGTATCATCTCACTACAACATGAATCATCACACTACATCATGTATCATCACACTACATTATGTATCATCACACTACATCATATATCATCTCACTACATCATGTATCATCACACTACATCATGTATCATCTCACTACATCATGTATCATCACACTATATCATGTATCATCTCACTACATCATGTATCATCACACTATATCATGTATCATCTCACTACATCATGTATCATCACACTATATCATATATCATCTCACTACATCATGTAACATCACACTATATCATGTATCATTACACTACATCATGTAACATCACACTATATCATGTATCATCTCACTACATCATGTATCATCACACTACATCGTGTATCATTACACTTCATCATGTATCATTACAATACATCATGTATCATCACACTATATCATGTAACATCACACTCCATCATGTATCATCACACTACGTCGTGTAACATCACAATACATCATGTATCACACTACATCATGTATCATCACACTACATCATGTATCATCCCACTACATCATGTATCATCACACTACATCATGTAGCATCACACTATATCATGTTTCATTACACTACATCACGTATCACACTACATCAGGTATCATCACACTACACCATGTATCATCACACTTCATCATGTATCATCACACTACATTATGTATCATCGGTACACTGTACGTCATGTGTAGTTTCAGAGTGTAACTGTGTAATAATATTTTGAATCACGCCAATTGACAATGTTTTCTTTTTCTTCGCATTAACATATAACCACATATTATCTACGATAGAAGTACGGAACTTATCATTAGTTTCTACTATTGTATAATCAATGTTTTTATTTTTAAAATCATTTCTGCTCTTCCAGACTACCCACTTTATAGTTATAATTATTGTATTAAGTATAACTGATTCCTTATTATCTCTATGGTAACCAAGCATCATAATTTCCTCGGGTATCTGATTAGTGTAATCTGGAATAACATAAACCACTGAATTACAACAAGCGTCTATGACGTTTTACACATGAGCACAAACATAGAATAGACGGTAAATATTTTCATCATCATCCACTTAACATAAATGACACTTTCCATTCGAATTCCCAAAATTTGCTTATTTTAAATTCCGTGTATACAATATTATGGATACATAACATCATGAACATTGTATCATCACTACATCGTGGGTTTTAACATGTGTTACAATGGATACTTCTCATGCACTAATGAGTAAAGTTAAGACACAACAGTAACTACCATGTTCACAGAACAGAGGAACATGTATGTTTGACCAACTGAAGTGACAAGGAACTGTAAATATGTATTGCGACAAAACGAACCGAGACAACAGGATGAGTATCATTAAAAACACTGATATTACAGATTGGCCCCAATATGACAATAATCAGTTTGAAGGGAATATTCTTCCGTAAACTCAAAACATCCCATTGACATCGATTTAACTTCAGGTTATAATTGATTTTACATCATTTTAATTTTGAATGAAATACATTATCTCTTAAGGGCTTGATGTCCTAGCAACAGTCAAAATCATATGAATAGGGGTGCCTAAGGAGACCCTGGCAAAAAGTAAGAAAATCAGTTCTTCTGTGACCCCAACTATAATTGTATAATACTTTAATGTGCAGTAGGATGCAGGGGTCCCATTGTCTCCGAACTCTTAAACTTTAATTTATTATAATTTTCCATATTCAATTTTTCAAGATAATATAATACTGTATAAAGCATTATAGTCCATCACACATAAAACCGTAACATATAATATATAATTACACACAGAATAGTAGTCACACATTTAATGGTTCATATAAAATGAATACGATATGAACCTCAAAAGCGGATATTGACTTTTCCATGTTCATGCCGCGTTATATTTACCATCACAAAAGTCCATAGCTGTACCAGTATATACTTCAGTGATTATTAAAATAAAAGGATCGGGCCAAAGAGATTGCAAGCAATCATCAAGTAAATACTAACATAAAACAAAACAAAAAGAGTACAAGCCAAAACTTAAATGTACAATACATATTTTGTGTAAGAAGTTTTATGCAAAAACTTTGACAAAAGATAATTCTAACTTTTGAAGTGCTCCTTTGCGCCTCGAACAAAAGCAAAGTCAAATGAAGTGAATGGAAAAGCTTATATGGGCCTACATTCATGTATGTTTCTCAGAGCCAACATCTTTCTCCATAGGGATTACACATGTCTCCAAGGGCTTATATAATGTCTCCGTAGGGATAACATATGTCTCTCAGGGCTTGCATATGTCTCTCAGAGTTTACATACATGTATGTCCCTCAAGACTTTCATATGTCTCCCAGGACTTAAAAATGTCTCTCAGGGCTTATAAACATGTATGTCTCTCAGGGCTAACATACATGTATGTCTCTCATGGCAAATATTTGTTTTTCAGGGTTAACGAATTTTTCTCAGGTATTACATTTGTTTCTCAGGGCTTACATATATACCTCAGTTCTTACGTATATCTTCTAGGGCAGTCATATGTTTTCCGGGGCAAACAAATGCCTCTAGGGGCTTTTATAAGTCTCCCTGGGCTTACTTATGTCTTGCAGGGCTAACACATGTCTCCCAGGGATTACATTTGTCTCCAAGGGCTTACATATGACTTCCAGGGCGTATATACATGTATGACCCAGGGGCCTATATACATGTGTCTCCAAGAACTTTCGTATGTCTCTCGTGTCTTTCATATGTCTCTCAAGGCAAACATATGTGTCCCAGGGCTTACACATGTCTTCCATTGCTTACAAATATGTCCCAGGGTTTACATGTCTCCAAGGGCAAACACATATTCCTCATGGCTAACATACGTCATCCAGGGCTTACATATGTTTCTCAGGGAAAACATACATTTAAATTCAATGGATATCAAATGTTTCTCATGGCAAACATGTCCCCAAGGGCTTACATATGTCTCCGTAGAGATAACATATGTCTCTTAGGGCTTATAAACATGTACTTACGTACTCTTAGGACAAACACATGTCTCTAATGGCTAACATATGTCTCCGAGCGCTTACATATGTCTCCGAGCGCTTACATATGTGTGTCTAAGCTTACATCTGTCTTGTAGGGCAAACATTTGTCTTTCAGGGCTTACATGTCTCCGACGGCAAACATGTATCTCTCAGGACTTTCATATGCCTCTCATTTAAAGAGTATCATAAGAACTTTCATCTGATATCAAGGTTGTTAAACTCGTATCAAATTATTGGGTTTTCCTAGCAAAAATGTACACATATAGACTTTAAACTAATTCATGATCCTTTGACATTTTACTAAGAATGTAAGCATATTTTTCTGATCATATCAAGTTTCAAGATCTCCACTTTAACTACATAAGTATGATCGTCATTAGGATGTCAAAACAGAAAGTGTAAAATGAGCAAATATTTGTAGAACACGGATATGTTCATTTAATAAAACAGTAGTCATGTAATAAAAGCGTGTATATAAAGATACATGACAAAGCCATTGTTATTGTTTACATAGCCATTGTTACGAGCTTGAATTGTTATTTTCATCTCTTGACTGTGCCGAATTTCACATGCTGGATTTGGATGAAAGCGAAAGAGCTACTGTGCGACGCATTTGACAATATCATGATGTTATAATACACAACAAATTGTCATCCCAAGGGCGCTTAATTACGTTTATCACAACTTTTTCCTTTGTAAGGTATTTAACGAGACAACCAACGAATGAAGGGTAAAATGATTTATCTTGCCTTCACTCTTTACATATATTAACCATTAGTTTTATGTTCACCACGTAACCTATGACTATCATTCAACTCAGTGCTGGCTCCACGGCAGCTCCGTAGTGAAACAATCATTGCGCAGTACAAAAGTCTTATAAGAAAATTAATTAAGATATTTGTTCTTACTTGAAAGGCAATCGTGGTGCTTCATTTCTTACAAAATTCATATACAAACTTCAACATCATAGCAGGAATTCCTCCATTCGCTTGGTCAACTACCGAACGGAAGTGATGATGCGGAGTCAGTAGAGCTGATATACGTGTATTTCATTCTCATATGATGATTGGTTAGTGACTACGAATTTGTCCCCACACACAGATATAGCCCTGGGTTTGTTGATACCATTCATTGACGTCAGAAGTTCTCTGATTTTGGTCCCGTTAGCGGAGACCTGTACCACGTTGTTGGAATCTTGACCACAGACGTACACATTCCCCTCAGGGTCGACGTCTACTCCCATCGCGTTCCGGACTATCCTCTCATCTATACCATATATTTGTATACCATTTGGTAGTCTGGTAACCACAGTATTAACCACTGAAGATGTTTGCAGACAGGCAAATGTGGTATTCTTCTTCGTATTAGAAGCAAGATGCCAGCACGGTGAGGATAATGTATGATTTTGCATTACCTTACCACCCAATGCCACTCTATGAATGCCTTTGCTTGTGCTCACCATGAAATGTCCATCCATGAACGCCAAACCGTGACATTTGATGGACGTTGACACGTTTATCACGGTCGATAGCGTCAGCTTTGAAGGCTGTACTTTCACGACATGTATACCGGCAGTAGTAGCAACTGCCATTGTGTCATCATCCACCAAGCAAACATCATGTGGGTGTCCATTGGTATTTAACCCGTCCAAATACTGTCCTTTGATAGAAATCAATTTTAGTTTAACGTTTTTACAGTCACTAACAACGATGTTTCCAGTCGGCATCAATAAAATTCCGTGCACTTCACACACTTGTTGATCTGACGGAATCTTAATCATGCATGTTCCTACTTTTTTGGCGCGACTATCTAATAGCGAATCGACATTTTGTATGTACCCAATACCGTCAGGTATGATAAATGGTTGCTTCATTGCGAGAATACTTCCCAAAGGCAAAGTAGTGCTGGGGTTTATTGTAAAAAAGTTGGTGTCGAGGTTGTGGTTTATAGATACTGATTCCAATGGATACACGATATCATCAATCAGGTCATTACAAGCCCCGATCTCTGTCTGACCTCTATGGAACAGTTGTATCATCCCGAGGTGGTCTTCCATCCGCAAGGCCGTATGTGACGCTTCCTTTGTGATCTGAATAGCGCCCCCCAGTCGGCTACACTTCTGCTTTGATAAATCAACCTTGGCTTTCTCAGCTTTGCATTTTGAAATCATTTCTTGAGTTATCTCCTCCTGTTTCTTATCGAGATATGTGTTGATTCTCTGTCGGAGATCTGAAATACTGCTTAAACCAACATCCTGACATCGCTGCAAGGATTCTACCTGTTGGTCAAAAGCGTTTACCATTAAACCCATGCAGTTGGCTGCTTTGTTGAGAGACTTCTCCATTTCATCAAGCCTTAAGTTATTCTTCTTCGTTTCACAATACTCCTTGATTGTCGTTACATCGTCACATCGTTGATGATCTGTGATGATACATTTCTTGCATCCGATTAACTTATGATTTTCACAATGATGGTCCATCATCAAGTTGTGTTTCGAACATGTTATTGACGATTGTTTTCCCCGTGTCACGTCAGGATTTGCCTCATGGAGAGTTACAACGTCACACAATTCGTGGACGATATCATGAAAATTAATCTTACAATGTTCGCAAAACAATGTGTCAATCCCTCTGCATAGAAACTTAGCTGGTGTTTCCTGATTGTTTTGCTTCTTGCAAGGGCCGCAATTAAGTGGAGTATCTGCCATTTCTTTGTGATTGTTAAAGAATTGTAGCAGACGGTTGGTAGGAAAATGTTGGGCCCACGTCTCTTTACCCTCAGAGTGATTGACAGGCGACGTTATCTTCCTACATACAGGACAGGGGAAGGACGTCACGGCGGCCATCTCACCAGACAAGTCTGTGACAATGTAGGTACTAAGACATTCCTCACAAAAGGAATGTAAACATGGGAGAGACTTTGGACTTCGCATCTGCTCTAGACAAATAGGACATTCGAGAAGTTGATAGGTCAAGGCAGTGTTGTCTTTGTTCATTTGGTCTGCCGGTTGAGGCCCACCTTCCGCCATTACTGCAGCGATCTCTCTGTATTCGTCTGAAATTTAAGTAAAATAATTAATATATTGTATTGAAATGCAAAAGGTATGATTGGCCTATATAATTCACTTGTTATTTATTCATCTCGCATGTCAGATGTTTATAGAAGGCAGAGTAAAAATATACCTGAGGACGCTAAATACATTACACATTATGGATCTTCGTTGGAATATATATTTCTGTACAATTTACAAATCATCGGTGTAAGATTGTAGCCAACGGAATTAATGTGACCCCCGTGTAGTTATAGGTCATTCGACCATATTCCACACACTTCACATCAGTTTGTAAATGTTCTAAGCATAGGTCGTTTGATGTCTAGGACGAAATTGTTTCAGCAAAAGTGGTCCCTGTTACCTACAAAATGGGTCGATGTCATTCGATGGAACAAACTAAATAGCCTTTATTTGAGCATTCTATATGCCAATTATCAATCATCCCTCAAGCACGTTAATTGAACAGAAATCGATTGACAAATAACAAATTTCATCTTTGTGACTTTGAAATCAAGCCAAAGTAATTTATTTGATGAAACACAGCCCTTTCTAATTCTTCTTTATTACTCAGAGGAAGTCTTCTTACATGTACATTTTACAAATTTCATCCTTTGACAATATCATTGAGTTAAGGTTCTATATTTTAACAAAATTGGTAGACCTGTGTACAACGATTTTACCTGCCTAATACTACCCTAGCTCTCTTTGTTATTCACAATAAGTCGTTAAATAATTTGATAAATGGTTTAAATAAATTTGGCCCCTGTAGCTTTTGAAGGCAGGTCGAGGTTATTGATTTTATAAAAAGTTGAAAGCTCATTATCCTGGATTGATAGGGGTAAAATATCATCGCTCTATGTATCTTGGTTGTTAAGAAGGAGTTTTGCTTAAAGGTTTAAGCAAAAACTAATTGCATCGACCTTGAAATTTGGGCAGTGTACTTTTTTTGAACAAACTTGCCGTTTGTTTCAGTATTATAATAACCATTGGCATCAATCTTTGGGACCTTGTTAAATTCATTTGTATAGTCCTTCATCCCAGCGTGCTAGTTGCAAATATTCAGATTTAATCATTTAAAATGTACGGACGGACGGACGGACCATGTGAGATAAAACTAGTCGTGCACCTCATTTCGGTTACTGGTAATACCATAAGTTGCGCCTGACCTTTGTCCCAAGATACTATACACATGTTAGGTATTTCCGATACAATTTATGCAGTATTATCTATTGTATCAAACAACAGAAGAATTTAGAGTGTGAGTTAGTGTGTAGCGTTCCTTTTGTCTTGCTATTCATAGAATGTCTATAATTTAGTACTTTCACATATGTGAAGTAAGCGGTATTATTATATTAAATCGTTTTACATCTGCAAAGCAAATGTAATACATAAAATTCAAATTATGGACTTCAAGAAGGCACGGTAGTCTAGCGGTAGAACGCCGGGCTCGTGACCGAAGGGTTGCTGGTTCGAGTCACGGCACGGCACTGTAATGTATCTTTGAGCAAGATATATTACTCTTGTTCCAATCTACTCAGATGTAAATGACTGCGTGATTGGGCAGTGCTGGAATTGTTGAATGCTAGCTGTGAGCACCGAAATGGTAGCACCGGCTGTATGCTCCCCAAAGAGTGGAGAAAGATATTGGCTGGTTGCAAAGTCCCTATACCCCGGGTAATAATTTGTGAACCGCTTTAGACGACCCCTGAACTAGGTTGTGATAAAGCGGTATAAAAGACCCATGAATTATTATTATTCAACAAACCACAGGCCCAAGTTCTAAGTACAGCCGTTAACTAATTATAAACAATAGTGAATTGACAAGACCGCGACAATCGTTAATAATTATAGATGTATATATACACTTTTCCTATTACTGCAAGTTAAGAACTTTATCCATGGCGGTATAGTTTATATTATTACAGTGTATATATAGAACATGACTCAACGAAACTACGATGTCTTTGATAAGCTAAGATTTTACTTAAGGACGCATTACACTCTTCATATACTGGTATGTGTTTTAGTATAGGTTCCTTTTTGGAACACCCAACCTAATTCGACGAGTCCGTAGTAACGAAAAAACAGAATCCGGATAAATCAGATATCGATAATTTATATTATTCATACATTTGTTTTTAATATGTCACTTGTATTTATATCAATATGTCAAGTGGAAAGAGTATCAAGTTAATGCATTTAAAAACGTGATTGTCTATCATGCAAAAACTACCGGCTAAATATCATTATCTTGGTTAATCAAAATAAGTCGTTTAATTAGAAGGTTGACACCGAACGAACGGACCACAAGCGCCACACAATTCTATGAGCCCAGGGCAGTTAAATCTAGTCGAGTTACTGGTAATGCAACACTGTGTGTCTGACCTCTGTCCTTTGACACTATAGATTCACGAGGGCGAAAATGATGAATTCAACACTTATTTGATCAAATTTCAATGCAAACGCTGTTATAAAGTTTAGGCTAATTATTTCCCATAAAAGTTATGTAGCTTTCTCTCCCAGGTCATACAAAAAAAAAGCCGGAAATCATATCTGAAGTATACAGTATATTATATTATTTATTTGTTCTAAATTTGCATTGAATTTGGGGAAGATCAAATAAAAATAAGTTACTTTAAATAACCGGCCTATCTTATTACAGTCATGTGATGAACAATAGCGAATTGACACGACTGATAATAACATATCAAGTGACCCGCGGCAATCATTATTACCACTGTATGTTAAAAACCTAATCAATACCAGTAAAGTACCTTATTAAAATTACAATGTATACATGGAACATGACTTACCCAAACTACGATGCCTTTGATAAGCTAAGATTCCCTGAATGGCATGTTACACCCTCCATGTACTGGCATGTTACGACGTGTTTCAGTCTTATCAGATAACACAGCGGTTATCTAATGCAACGAGTCCGTATAACGGAGAGACTGAGTTCGGATATATATTAATAAATTAATAAATATTAATAATCACTTTCATCTTAATTATTCATACAAATATAAGATCTGCCACTTGCATTAATGTCAAATATCTGTATAGTTTCTGCGGCAAATTAATCAGTCATCAATACAAACATTTAGTGCTAAAGGTAGCCTTGTACAAGTCCCTGAATGCTATTTCTGTGTATTAGGGCGATAACAAAACAATAAATCACTGTATAATTACAGTATGTCAGTAGTACAATTGTGTCTTCCGTACTACCGTTTCAATTTCTATTGCAGGCGTGACATTAAACTAGAAAATATACATTTTTCGTTCTTAATGAGATAGTCATACATACGAATACATATATAAATAGTAAAAACAAGTTTCTTATCATACCGCTTTTATGGATATATTCGTGGTCTAGTTTGAAAGAAATGGGTCCATTTCAATTGAAGGTATACTTATTGCTTATTGCATTATAAATAGTTGCAAATTACATTTATTTACAAGGTGGAAAAATAGCAAGAATAATATTGTATTCCTATGTGATTAAGAATATTCCATAACTTAGTACAAGCTGATGCATTTCATTGAAATATTTTAAAAGGAAAAAATAAGAAAAAACTACTTCAAAGAAAGGGGGAAGTGTGAGTAGAAAAGAAGAATTTCTTTTCGTTTATGTGATATTTGTCCTAGGACTGTAGGATCGAAGAATTTCAACAAAGGTTAAGATGGCTATGTGACAATTTTGAAAAATATGAATTTAGGGAAACACTTATATAGTGACGTTTAAAACTGACTGAGTAAAATAAGATCGCGTTAGCGTCTTCTACGTAAACGATGACGTCCGCAACGTTTATCTAGGTCAAGTATCAGTAATGTCTTATTCTCGAATGAAAAACTTTGGAAGACACAACAAAAAAAACAACATTTCTCAATGACATCATGAAGGCGATCATGCCAGTGGCCGTGGTCTTCGTCATCTCTCGTCTCTTTGCATTCGCGATCGTTCCCGATAATCGTGATATTCGGAGCAAGTCAATGAATATTGAATCAGTTGCAACGCGTAAATATTCCCCTAATAGATCAAATTAACGCCTGATACCTGAAACGATAACCAAAAGTCCTGTTTTGCTTTTACAGTAAGTAGAGAGATCAAAATGCAAAACCCTGTTGATTATAATTATTTACCCGAGGAATAAACAGCGTTAGTTTTAATCCTTAATTTACCATTGTTTTCAAACATGTATGTATAATACTTTGGAAGTAGCAAATGCAAACGACTTGAACATTAACTAACAGTCAAAAGTTAGATACAAATATTAATCAACCATCACGGGTTTTAGGCACCTTTGCCTCCCACTACCTGCAAATTTTATATCTAGAATAAACCCATGTTTCTCTTAGGAATACATTATTCCCGTTTCCGAGGTGGGAAAAATTTGTTATGAACTATGACGTCACAATGGATGATGACGTCGCAAAGAATTGTCACCTGACGTCATAGTTATCCGATTGGCCAATGAAATCACGTTCAGCGTGTTACCAAGTAGTGGGTAACCAAACATATTTACCAACTCCTAGCAGGTGTATAGCCAATGAGTCGGAAGCGAGGAAACATACTGGTTAAGGGGGAAATCAAATTACTGTGCATTGTAATACGTGAAATTAATATAGGATCATTTCTATTGTTATCATTATAATTATATTAATTTACAAAGTGAATTTACACAACGCGAAATACACTACATAATGATCGTAACACTAAACATTATAGCTTCTGATTAGATTATGATAAATATATTACTATTTATGATGTGTGATTTATATCAAGAAACAGTCTACATATTTTTGTAGATTATTTATTTTAAAACCGCTTTTTAAAGATGGAAACAAATCATCTGTATTTCATTATTCTTTTATTGATAGAACAATATTTCAACATTTCACGCATTAGCTAAGGGTTGTCTTCCTACTTCGAAAAAGGTGTTTCTCACAAACTTCTGTTCCGTCCATAAAGCAAACTTGTTAATGAAATGAAACCTTTTAGTTTAAAACTTTATAATCCATTTCATATATACTTGAATTTTCTTTTTTTGGATTTAATGGTGTAGAATGTAGCAGATTCACGAGGGCGATAACGATTAATCTAGCACTTATTTGAGCAAATTGCAATACAAATGCTTTCATCAGGTTAAGGTTTATTATTCCCCATAACATTTATATAGCGTTCTCTCTTCCATGTCATACTACAAAAGCCGTTTAGTTTGTGAACCGTTGTGCAGTGTTCAGTTGGTCACATTGATTCATGTAATTTCCATGGGTTAGTATACTTTCGCTTTCGAAAGGCACTCTCCAGAAATCATATCTGAAGTATACAGTATATTATATTATTTATTTGTTCTAAATTTGCATTGAATTTGGGGAAGATCAAATAAAAATAAGTTACTTTAAATAACCGGCCTATCTTATTACAGTCATGTGATGAACAATAGCGAATTGACACGACTGATAATAACATATCAAGTGACCCGCGGCAATCATTATTACCACTGTATGTT